CAAAGGTGTGACATTCCCCATAACAAATGAAACATATGCGGCTGTTTAACGAATGTGTCTGCAAGAATTCGTACTTATGTTGAGCTCCACTTCATAAGATCGCTCAATAGAAAAATTAAAATACATGTTATGCGTGTTTCGCATAACATTGATTCCCAAAGTATGTGGGGTCTGCCAAATTTTTAGCATCAGTTTTGTAACCTAAATGCTACCATAAACAATTATTTATTGTACATGAACAGCTGGACTGCAACATACTAAGTTTTAGGTGTTAGGAAAACTGAATATATTCATGACTACAGCATACCTAACAGGCAAATACTAGTACTAAATACATGACACACTCTTGTAGAGCTAGACTAGAATATTGCTTATTGGCACTTTACAATTCTTTAAAAACCCTAATTAACTTCAGTGCCTTATTCGGATTGTTCAAATTGGATGTGTGCAATTACTTGATGAATCGCTTTTTTACTCAAACCTAACTCATGTTTCACGTTAGCATCATGCTGAATCATTGCTCAGATGTTTCTTGTGTATATATTTCCTTTCTACTATGCTGTTTGTTTTTGTAGGTGAAATCTGTTGTACGTGCTACCCTCTGTAGGCCCCCAGGTACTGTCAAGTTGTTTACACAGTTTTTTGCCTGGGGGACCTCCAACAAGCATGTTTTCCGTTGAAAACAAAGCGAATTTTGATGCTGAATTCTACTCACATAGAAATAATAACCCTCCAGCATGACAAAGCATATTGTATTTTGGACAGTCTGTCTTGTGAAACTCTTAGTGATTACTTCTGTCTTTATTTCAGGCTTCTGGGTGTGGATGTGCTGTAGAGAAGGAGCGCCCTGGCCACACTTTTGTAAGAGAAACCAAAGTCGCCTGGGCAGCTGAAGATGGATTGTGCAAGTGTTTGAATGATCACAATATATTAATCCAACACCACTTGCATTACTTTGTCAATATTTGTGATTTTGTAATGCACAAGTTTAGAAAACACACACATATATAAAGGGAGAGCTGTAAATAAGCCTTGAGCAAGTTTGTAGTCAAGGCTTTTAGGATGATGACCAAAGCATGTTATATACGCCCACATGTTTTACCACACACCTACTTTCCTATCTATTTTCTTTTTAAATTTTGTGGGCACTGGCAACACTCTAAATAAGCGCCTTTGGACTGCTGGTGCCTCTAACTTATATTTTGTTGTTCTAAATAATTTATTTGTTACCTACTATGCAAGGACGGAAGTCAAAATGTTAAAAGTAAAAAAAACAAGTCTCGTCAAAAAAAGATGTCTACTCGTAAGAAAAAAGATTTGAAAAACAGAAGATTGATCCTCACTCACAAAGATCTCACCATTACAATCGATGCAGAATGTCATAGCTCATGCTTACTATTGTCAATCTTTTTCAGTTGTATGCTATGTACGATAAAATAGTGACTATTTGCATCATGTTAATTTATTTGTCATAAATTTTTGTTGTGGCCTAATATCTTGCATTCTCACATGCATAAAAGCTCAGGTCTGCTACACATAATTTAAAAGAGTGCAATGTAGTAAGGTTCTGTATTTAGTGCATATTATCTGTGTGTCTTTCAAAGTGAGTATATTGCATTTGAAATAATCACCAGTATTCGAAACTTGTGAATTTTTAATTTGCAGGCATGCATGTCTGTATGGTGACCAAGCATCCATAAATTGTGCATGCATGTGTGCAGCAAGGGGCCTTGAATAGATTATTCATTCTGGACCAAAAATGGGTATCACAGGCCATGTACGCACTCTGGGATCAATTTCATGATTATTCAAACACACATATTTATTCATTATAGCTAGCTTTAAGGTATATATTTACATATTGTCTACTTTCACCTTGAACATTGCACCATGCATCCGGCACTCTGCCGAGCGCTTCTCGAGGGCACTTTGGTAACTAGTACACAAACGTACAGACAGCTGTAAGTGGGCCTCCACTTTGTTGACTGCTGGAGAACGGTGGCTTCGCCAAATCGCACTTCCTTTGTGGTGAAGCTAACTTTGCTCTTGCAACAGTAGAAGCTTATCTAAAATTCGACACTGTTCTTCAGAAGTGCAGCTTCTTCTATCCAGAGCAGCCAAAAACGAAAACCCGAGGAACAGCACCTGGACTGGGTAAGGCACAATTGCAGCACTTCTCGATAACAGTGCCGGATTCTCTATTTGCCTACACATAGAGAAAGCAAAACACTGGAGCCAACTGAGACACTGTGTTTTAAAAGACGATGATGCAAAAGCCCCACCTACAGCTGTCACTGTGTTTCAGTGCTAGTTTCATAAGCGCATGCGGAAGGCACTCTGTGGAGGGCAGGCCGCGTGCATTGTGCACGTGTTCAGGGTGGAATGGACGACTTAGTACTTATGTTCAAGTACTAACAAACCGTATGTGGGCTGTCACTCAGTATGGTCTAAAGAGTATACAGCAATCTGCATTTTTAGCCATCTCCAGCATCAATCCTAGATTTGGCCCACTGGTACGTCGATGTGGAGCACCCTTCCAGCACCCATTTGAAGGGTGTTATGACAACACAGCACCTTTTTTTAAAGGGTGCACTCATTACACCCTTCAAAATTTTTGCTCTGCACCCTTTTCTTAAGGGTGCTGAGCTCTGCACCCTTTCTCAGCACCCTTTTTTGAACACCCTATAGGGAGCAAAGGGTGTTCGTCTGGCGACAAGCTCATTTACATCCTTAAGGGTGAGATTTGGTTTAGTGTGTACTAGCACTGGTGCCCAAGCGATAGCCGGCACACTGCCCTAAACAAGCCTTTGAATGCAAACCACAGGTCAACAGCACGAGAAAAAAGGAAGTCCTTGCTATCATGTCGGGATGACAACACTTGCTAGACTAAAAAAAGAAATAATTGGAAAACTGATGTGTTTTTGAAACACCCGACAACGTTGTACAGATCTTGTGTAGAATCTGCTGCCATCTAGCAGACACCGAGCGCATTTCTACAATCTTGAAGGCTGGGCGCGCTCTACCTGTGCAGGCACCGAATGTCCATATTAACGTGTGGTGGCAGATAGGGGTGGCAGTGCCAACAAAATTTTGTGTGCCATGTTGCTCAGACTGGGGAAACTGGGATGCTAAAAAAATTTTTGCAGGAAATCAACCTCTATGTTATTTGACTTCCTCATGGCTGACGCAAAGAGCCAAATCTGTTGCTTATTTTGCAGCTTACAATTAAATGCATGTTTATATTCTCTGTTCTAACAAGATGTGAGACAGCCTAGGCACTCATCACAGCACGCTCTTTCATGCCATGCCAGATTGAAACAGTTTTTGCACCGTGTGAATGCAGGCACAGACATACCAGCCTTGTGCACGAGCTTCGAATCTGCATCACGGCTACTTATGCTTGCCTCTGCTGCTGTTTACAGCATTACTTTGTGGATTACATTGTGATAACAATTACATGTTGGCCACGTAGCTTCTGCATGTGATCGATTCTCATAAAATGGACTGGTTGTGCTCGAACATGTCGCTTATTGGTGCTTGTTTATTGTGGAGTTTAATAAGGTAACATTTGGTGGTGTGGTTTGCACACGTATTGCTTCACTATGTGTACTTTTCAAGCATTCCATGTGCTCTTTTAGAGGGGGTGGCCAATTTCATAAGGGCAAACCGAATGCTGTGACCCTCCCCCTGTTATAATTTTTTATGCCCCAAGAAGAGCAAATATGTTATTCCAAAGGGTGATCCTCCTTCATAAAAAATCTTGTATCCACCTTTGTGTGCCGTAAAGTGTTAATAGAAGTCTCAAGTGTGTCAACACTATTCAGAACTGAAAAAATGCTGTTCTGGCAAATCTGTTACCCTTAACTGTGGGTGCGCTCCCACTGTTTAGGCACAAAGGTGGTTTCGCAAATGTTCAGTAGGCGATACACAACTGCCCTGCTGCAAACGGCGTGAAACTGTAAAGTGCAAATAAGTCCCGAAAGTGATGACGTGAACCCAAATATTTTACACCTACTGTGCTGTTTACGAGAACATGCCCCCCAAAAGGGTATTCAATGAAATACTAGCTAATCAGCACCCACTTAATAGATACGCCTTTCATTTTTGTTTTTCCTGAACAGAAAACTTAAAGTTTAAAAACTTTACTTGTGTGTTAATGCTATATATAGCGTACGTTGATGACTACAGCAGCAAAGCATTATTTATTTGAAATATAAACAAAGAATAAAAAGTTTAATTTCAAGTTAGATGTGCGATAAATTGAAGGGGATATTTTGTAAGTATTCTATCTAGAAATGGCAGACACGAAACAAAAGAATGAAATGGAGCCATACTAGATTGGTCAAGGCTATTCTCATATTCTAGACATGAGAATAGCCATACACAGTAAATTTTTTTACACCCTTAAGGGTGTAAACTGGCTTGTCGCCAGAGGAACACCCTATGGGTGTTTTCAGATACACCCTACTGAAAGGGTGTTATGTGAACACCTTAGACGAAGGGTGTCGAGCAAAATGAAAATTGGGGTGTTAGGGTGTTTTGAGCTGGAACACCCTTTTTCAAGGGTGTTGGAAAAGTGTGCACCCTCTGCTATATCGATAGGCGTGCGCTGCAGTGTTCCGCTTCAGGGCAGGGTGAAGTCAATATATATGTGCACGAATATCGATGGCTATATATCGACTTCCACAGAGCACTAACGGGTATGCACGGCACATGTATGCACGGCACATGCTAATATATATAGTACTCAAAGCAGTGTGCCTGTCTATTGCAGGATGCAGAGAATACACATATTTCAGCAACTTAATTTGCAGTTAAACCTGGCATGGCTAAATCAAGGTTCAGTCTTACCAAGTTAAAAATATTGTGCATATATAAAAACAACAGTGCTATGTAGATGCGCATCGCTCTCACTTTTAAAGAAATCTGTTTTTGATGCATTCTAGAAATAAATATGGATTTGTGCAGACTAAATATCAAGAACAAGTACCACAAGGCAGTTTTTCTCTAAATTATTTACATTTATTGCAAAATTTTACACATGCTTCTTGCAATGTGCATTATATCATAATGGCCCACATAATCTAATCTGACCATAACCAAGGCAGTGTAATGTTATTTAGATTAGCAAACAAGCAGCAAAAACTATTGCACAATAGTTCTGTCTTGCAGGAATGTAATATGGTAATAACTAAAAAGTTCAATGACCATGGGTTATTTGACAGCATGTGTGCCCGGCTATGCAAAAGGAGAAACATGCACGACTTGTGAAGCAAATGCAAAATAAATTAATGCGGCACTAAAAACGGCAATAATAATCAATAAATTTTCAATCACTAATACAATCAAACATAAAAAATATGCAGTAAGGCAAATGTGCAAGAACATTACCATATGGCATTATCATATGACTATGTGGATTTTACGACAATGTTTAAGAACTTCGCAACAACAGATCTTGGTGTTGTCTTTTCGAGCTCAAGAAAAATCTTTCGAGGACGACAAGGGTGTTGAACGCTTTACAAGCATATTGAACATTGAACAACCAGTTTGCACACATAATTGCGACAAGTCCTTCCTCTGCATTAGTCACTTGAAAACACTTTGTCTGGTCTACCATCAGCCAGAAAAACTCTGCATCTTCAAGGACGGCCCCATTATAAGATACACATGGCGTTGCTGGCATGTCGTCCTGTATAGGCAAAGTGAAAATGCATAAGACTTCACTGAGTGGCTTACTTCGAATTCTGTACAGTTTAAAAAACAGGTTTAGAGCACTTTAAAAGACACAACTTGTGTTTTAGCATTACAGATGTGATATCTATCATTAACAACAATTTCAATGTGTGCAGCATAACTATGGTTTAACTGGGAGATTAAAACAATATAATGCATCTGACAAAATGAAGGGAACAATTGTAGTGTCACGAGTTCTCTAGGCAATCACAATGCAAAGCAATGAAAATTTATGCATCCATTCGACATACACAAACAAAAAGCTGGTATTCACTGCCCCTTAGCGTGCACAAAACTTGCCTCATTAGGGAATAGGGAAAGAAAGAAAGCCTCGTTCAAGAATTTCTTCAGACATATTTAGTTATTCTACATCAGCTAACAAAATAACTGTGTTATACTTGAAAAATAAAAATTTCTTCTTCATGGAAAAATAAAAACATTCCTTGACACACACAAAAAAAGAACAACAGCAGGAGAAGGTGATGTAGATTGTACCATATATTTTCATCCTTGTTTCATCTTGAAATTTATTTTTACTTGCTGTAAAAATCTAATACAATGCAACTATAACGCTCATCACACTGTTATTCTATGTCTGTGTATTTAACCTGATACTCAGATTTTTTAAACCCGAGTATGGAGTGCATAAGGTTAAGGAGCACTCAAGAGTTTGAAAATGTCTCTTGTTTTGCAGACACAATAATGGTGGCGGAGGATAGCCTTGTGTAAATTTATTTAATGCACACTGCTTAAAAGCAAGACATGTCACAAAGCAAACAAAGCATAAAATGAGCCTGGGGCCTTGCATTCATATATATAAAGGAATCAAGTCACAAAACTAATTCGTGATTACACTGATCAGATAGAGAGAGAAAGTATATGCTAGCAGGAGTTACTGCTGTTTTGCAAAGCCACATGCGAAACAATGTTTAGAATGAAAAAAACACCATCTTGACGTAAAATGCAACCTAAAGTGAGTATTGCAAGGCATCATTTAAAGCATATGGACGCAAAATTGCAAATCAATGTCATGCATTTGAAAAAAAAATACTGGCTGACTGACCTTCACAATTCCTTCATTTACGTCGGTCACAGCTTACAGCCACAAAATTATGTTTTACACGTTATCTATCGCCATCTCTAAATTTGGTATTACAGTCAAACCCCTTTACGAGAGACACTGATATAAAAGACAAACGGGTATCCGAGACACCAGTGTGCCTACACTAAAATATGGGCTGATAAGAAAATGCGTACGAGGCACCCTGCTTATAAGAGACATCTTGTATAAAAGACAAGAATTGCCATCCGAAGCATGCCTCTTATAAAGGGGTGTAACTGTACTGGCATTGCTTTGTCATAACTTGACCATTGGCCTCTGCTAGCAATAGTGAGTTCGCTTTGATGCAGTTTGTCTAAATTTTCATTTGCTAACATGCAGTGACATTAGCTACTCAGTGTTTCATATACTCACAGTCTCTTGCACAAATAAAATTGAGCATGCTGACCGTTCCTTCACATTCTCGCAGACGATTTTCAGAGCTACAAGTGCCATAATATCTGCAAAAAATAAAATTATGCAAGGCTATCTTATTTGACAGTAATAAATAATTTCAAACTGTCATAAGAGGCAATGAAGCATGCATTTCAACATCTAAATGCTTTCTAAATAAGCCTGGGAAGGAGAGGATGCAAGCTTGTCATACAAAATTTGTAAAGAAGCGGCATATTCTCAAGAAATTGGCTAGAAGGGTAATGTGTTGACTTCAATCACAATTGTATAAAACACAAATGTGATAGCCAGCTTTCACAGAACACGTGAAAACATATTCTTCATAGGAATGAATTTGGTAATTACACTTTCTTTGAATATAGATTAATTCTAGCCGTGACTTCTACAAAGGAGGGCCATCAGCATACTGCTAAGTATTCCCTTGTGAGAAAAATATTCTTCGTGGCCCTAAGAAAGGGTGTTACATTTAGGAAAGGGCCAATGGTGCAAGTGTATTGAAATGTATCAAAAGGGTGAGTTGGGGCAGATAATGTGAGCTCATGGATTAAACAACAATAAAAACATAAAAAAGGACTCCATACAGGCATTTCTGATGTTCAGCTATCATATGTGTCTTTCATCCTTTATGCTGTTCAAAACAGTAAGTGTAAAGTTGGCAGTCTGTACAGGTTCATCCATTTATCAGATGTGTAGCACTTGAAAGAAAACATGGACAGCACACACAAATGAGCTCTGAAGTGCAAACTTAGGGCACATTGGAACAACTTTTCTTACAGGTTGTGATACATATGGCCTCCTAATATACAGCCTCCTGTGATTTGACCTCCTGTGATAAGTTAGCCTTCTGATACATATGGACGCAATTCCACTCTGCTAGCCTTTAAGTGAGGAGCTGCATAAAATCTCTTTTCACGAGCGCAAGGATGTGTGGCTGCCAACATTTCAAGTACCCTTGCATGTGTGTGCTGCGAACAGACTTTTCAGGGCCATTTTTCTTCAGCTTTTACAATTATTAGAAGCTGTGTCATTACAAGAAAGCAAGAAATGATACACAAATAAAGCAAACAATAAATTTGAAAGCACTGAATTTTAAAAAAAATCATAAAAGGTATACAAAAGGTAAGTAATACATAAGTACACAAACATGTTTTACTCTCTCTGCAGATTTATATTTTTAGAATGAAGATGAGCTATTTATGATAATGCAGATTGCAATTTTAAGTACCACAAAAAAAAGTAGGTCAACACAAGAACATAGTGCTAAAAAAGTATGTGACCTGAGCAATGTAACTGATTGAATTCACTAGGAGTAAGCCAGAGTAACTCTGATTTAAGTGGCAAAAGCTCCTTGAACAGCTTGGGCTAGTTTCATGAAAGACAGGCAATTATTAGGATCCTTAATAAAGAAAACAATAAAATTATTTGCTGATAAATATTATAGTATACGGGAGAGTGCATGCATATTACATTGTGGAAAATTAACTATGGGGTTACCGAAAAACTGTAATCTAATGTCTTACAAACCTAGCAAGTACGCAGTTATCCTTGTCTGTTGTCTTCCCTGTTTTTACACAATCATATTTCAAGTATCGAGTACAATCCAAGCTGAAATAAAATTCTCATGAACTCATGTCTTGTTCTCATCCTTTTGGGGTCCATTTAACGTGCTCTCTCCAACATTTGCCTCGTGTTTTCACTACAACGTATTTTCTTCATCACTGCCGATTGGGTTAATTTATCGATGGCTGTTGAAACCTTCCCGACTGGTTTTATGTCGGTCAATCTTGTAAAGTCATTGCAAAACTGCATAGAATAAACAGCGAGCAACATTATAAAACAAAATGTCAGGCCTTTCATGATGAGCAGCCTCACCTACATAATTTTTCATATATTCTAAAATAGTTTCTGGTGGCACCCAAACAATCTCTCTACAAAATATAAATAGAACATTGCCCACTAAATATATGTCCTCGATCATGAAATAGACAACATTCAAATAACTATACAGTATGCGCTCAAAATCAAGTCCCCATGTTTTTCTTATCTTTACTGTCAGCTCGTTTTCATTGAAGCGGCGTGATACGAAGAAAACCGAGGCCTAATGTTTCCACTTTTTTCTTGCGTTTAGAGCAAGAGTCTTGTTCTGGCAGACTTGATGCCTTCAGAAAGTATGTGAGGGATTATTGGTAAACTGCAGCTATAGTACAAAAGTAATATGCCGCGGGGTGGCAGCAGGCAAAAGGTGTTCAACACTGATCGCAATAGCTTAGAGCATGCAGCACTGGCTAACACTCCCAAGTTTAAGTGCACACATCCACCCCAATTAAGTGTACAGGAGGAAGGCTGGCACTGTAGCTCGACTGGCAGAGCATTATATGAGTTACTTGAAGGTTGCAGGCTGGGACCCCAGTGGCAACAAGTTGTATTCTTACCCAGTTAAATTTCTTCACTTTTATATAATTACAGCAATACAGTTAATAAACCACAGATGTACCCTACCTAGAATGTAAAAAAAAGCCAACGTACTCGCTGAAAGTCCATCATATAGGGGTAGTTCTTTTTCACATCACGAATCGTTTTCGTCGCAACGTCAGGAAGCCTCTTCCCAGCTGTCAAGGCCATTAACTTTTCCACGAGTTGCTCATCCGGCAATAGTTTTTTGGTTTCCAAAACAAGTCGATCTTCATGTTTGGCAATACTGTCATCATCTTCTGCTGTTAGATCTGTGATGCTCACACTCTGCAATTGGAATCAATTGCAAGCTATTGATGAGACTATTCATGCAGCTTTTACAAATGGGTGGGATTTTCTGTGAGCACGGTATTAAACTATCCTCACCATTTTCCCAGCTTTTTTTCCTTTGAGGCTCAGTGGTGCCTCCTGTTTTCCTTTGGGCACCGAATTTCTGGCGACTTGCTAACACATCTTCATGATCATCCAGCTTCCTTCTTAGGTTTTTATACTTATTGCGGAGGGCTACTTTCCAGGAGTCCTGTCAATTCGGAAAATGAAGGTGCTCAATATATTCATGTACACAATGATACATGCATACCTGGCCTTTTCAATGAATTTCTTTTCATAATAAATACACAAACTAAAATTCAAGCACTATAAGCCCACTGATATCAGTGACTTTAAAACTGCTGGTAATGAAATGCACTTTTGATAAATATATCCAAAGCATTCACTAGTTTCAAAACATTCACAAAATGTCTAGCAGCACTGCTTATTTATTAAAAAGTATGTCTCACAGATAAATGGCTGCTGCAATACCCTGACTAAAATTTAGTAGCACGCTCACTTATCCACTCGTCTGGTGATTTATGTAGCTGCAGGACATTTGAGCCTTAGTATTGTGTATGCGGCCATATACAAGACCCCAACTTGTTGCTACTCATGACAGTGGCTGCGAATAAGAAAAGTGACCACTACCAATTACACCCTACAGCATATGAAGCTTAAGACTATAATGACCCCACGAGTCCCAGCTAATGAAGAACCCTCTTTTTCTATTTTGTTTTCGATTTTACATATGAATCTGTGCACAATAGTCTTTGTAATTGTAAGCATCATACAGTGTCACTTCAATGCAAAATTAGATTTTCAAAATTGAACATATGTTTTATTAAAGTGAATGTTATTATATCAATGCATTGTGAAACACTGAAAAAAATGTACCCAAAACTGCTTTTAAATGTGATTAAGGAGCTTTAAGGAACATTAGGGAGCAATGTGATTAAGTGTAAGTATCACATATCTTACAGCATAACAGTACTTACGTGCCCACTTCCAATTACATCTTTCAGCTGTGGATACTTGTCAAGGAGCAGGGTTGTCACCTTACTGTAGAAACAACGCGTTGGATACCTGCAAGACAGTTGAGCATCGCAGCTTAAGCTGTCACAACTTGAAGTTTAACAGGGCAGGACACTATATTTAAATGTGCACCTCTGTGTACTCACAGTGTGTACTTGGCCATTTCATCGTGCAGGATGTCAATGATTTGCCTGAATGTAGAAGGTGTTAGCAGCGGAGAGCTTATCACTTTTTCATGGAGGGCACCAAGGCTGGGTAGTTTAAAATTTATGCCATCATTATCCCCTGAGCCGAGTGGGCTGTAAAAAATGTATCATGATGCAAATTACCGCAAGAAAAATAACACTTCGGGTAATCTTTCTGCTCATGCACACATTAAAAATAAAGCCAAAAATTAGCAGATATTTGGGCTGAATAAAACAAACAACAAGAAACCTGCAGTAAAAGCAACACAAACACACTCAGGCCAAAAGTGCTAGACAGCAGTTTATATATCAGCAGTTTAAAAGTTTATGAGTCATTCACAATAAAACATCTAGCTTGTCTGCTTGATTTATAGTGTTCTCAAGGCTATAGAAGCTGAAAAAGTGAGTTTGCAATAGATATTAACAGTCAAGTTGAATGTCATGGCTGGATTGTTATTGCAATGCTTTAAGTGTGCCTCACATCTATAAAAACAGCTCAAGTAGTTTTGATCAAGGTGGAAGATAAGAAGAACATGACTAGAACATGCATTTCTTACTGCATATTCATTGCACTTCTGCAATTCCTGAATGCACATGTGTAAGCGTAGCTCTAAAATCGCCATGGCTTTGAGAAGACTGCAAGTCATTAACCAATCAGTGTTCTTATCTTCTAATAATGCTTTTGATTAGAAAGTTATACAATTAAAAAATTACATTATTTGAAATATTTCAACAGAATATGACTTTGTAATAATACATGCCAAATGAACACAAATATTTATATAGCCACGAGTAATGTTGCAAAGTTTACGTAATAAGTTTTTCAAGTTTATTTAAAGGATTAAGCTATGATGACAAGATCAACACATAAGCACTAGTGTGACTGGTGAACAGCTGTTGTTACTGTCTAGAGAAATGATGACGTACATTCGTGTCACAGCTCTCTAATTATACCAAACAGCTATCATTCCTTCACAAACATGTTAACTGCAAATGAGGTACCCTCAAACAACACTGCATAATTCTTATGTAATGCTTATTGGTGATAATTTTCATTTCAAGTTGATCTTTTCCTAGTTTGTTGATTTATCATTCCGAATTGAATATATTCAATTCAACCTGGTTTTTATTACTCGGAACTGCTTCAATATGGTGAACTAATATTTGCACATCTCTACCCATAACTCATAGCTGTTCATACTGCAATTACAAATGATCCTAAAAAAGCCCTTACCGCTCGAACAGGCTCAATGACCATGCTTGGTGTGTCTTGCTCACCAGTTTCAACAACAGCTTGTAATGTGCCCTGAAAGCAAAGGAACGAACAATAATGCAACTTTTACATGATACAAATAAGGGGAGGACAACCAGCACATTAACCATTTCACTACTGTCGATGAGCATGTATCTGTCATGAGACTTGGTAACGAAATGAGCCATGATGACTGCACTTTTTATCAGCAGACGTTAGTCTGCAATTGAACTTATTATAATAAGGCTATATTCATGATACTTTTGTTCCCTGATGCCAGATGGCTACAACTGTTTATGTTGGGCTGTTTAGGTCTCGTTTTTCATTTTTGAGAAATCCCATATATTGGTTTCATTGAAGTCACTTTTAAGGTATTACTTTCATGCCAATAGTGAAGTAAACGAACCCCACTGAGTTGAAACAGTGCCACCATTTCAATAAAAAACAAATTATTAATATTTCCACAAACTCAGCAAAGAGGATATTTTTTGTTTTCTTCTTTTCATATGTTTGCAGAAGGGGCAAATAAATTTCTTATATCTGCAATCCATGGCCTCTCACAAGACTGAAGGCATTTGCTTGAGAACCATTTTTCAACCAGGAGGTCAGAAAATCGTAATCACTAATGCGTTAGTATACGCATTTCTGCAAACTGGCCTGGTTCTTGCAAAATACCTTCTGCCACCTTGCGGATCTCCAAAGAACTCATTTACAATACCTCATTGACATTTCAGAAAGCTAACAAGACCCGCATACAAGTAAAGATCCATACTATGGGCTATAAACAACATTTTTATGTCTCATTAGGCACCCTAATAAACTCCGCTGCACTCCATTGGCAGTGTTGTTCAATGGTACTTCGCTAGCTGTTGGTGAGTAGTGAGTAATAACATAGCAAGGGCAACTTAATAAGCTGTATTTCGTAAAGTTGCAGTGTTACGATAATTGAGAGCTCCATCTTTTATTACTTTGGTCAGTAAATGTACTAGATATTGCTTATAGCATGGAGATATTTAAATACACGCCAGTCTTTCACAACACATTCTAGAAACGGTAAACCTATTGCTATAGCTCACACTGCCATCATTTATTATATTACTGTAAGCCCTCGCGGGCAGTTTCAGGGGTGGGAATGCACAATATACAATATTGAGATACAATGCATAGCATAGAGGGCAGCGGCAAGTTGGTATTCATACATTGCAATGACGAGGTGGTAGGTATTTTACAATAATAACAGCAGAGCTGGTTTAAGCTTTTCATTGCACCTGGTAGTGCAAGCAAAAATCGGCATTTCCATGAACTGGCACACGCTCTCTCGTACTATTTATGCCTGTGCACAAGAAAACTGCAATGAAACTTTTCCCCTGTCTAAGAATAAACCTCTGGCGCAGACACTTTGCCATTTCTTTTTGCAGAGAAGTGAAATGTTTTTTTTAGCCTTTTTATATTTGCAGAACGGAAAATATCAGGACCACCCATCTTAGACAAATGATAAGCTGTCTACTTGGGTATTTTAAGATGTTTGCAGACTTTTTACGACCAGATTCTGCTTTGGCGCACCATTCCATTTAAGTTTCACCATTTCCGCTCCACGGGTCATTTCGGTATTATGCTGTGCTTCGTGCCGGCCAGGTGCGATTACTTATGATTTCCCACTAGAACTTTGATATATACGGCACTAAAGCCCAAAATTAAAATGCTAATTGAACAGTTTTAAATTTGTCACGTGGTCGTCATTTTAGCTGCAGAAAGTTATTTTCGCTTCGCCATCGAGTTTGTGCGAAAACGACAGGAACCAGTGTATCATAGACTTTTTATTTTAAAAAAACTGCAATGGTTAAAAAAAGGCACCCTCCTAAAATTGCGTGAGTGCACGCAAGTTTGTGTCGCACGCAAAAAAAAACATAAACAGGGCCTTGCATGCCAGCGTGCAAAAAGCGCAGATAATAAAACAATTTCTTCAATACAATTTTTTTTAATTTAAATAATACTTCAAATAAAGTACTTCAAAATTTATTAATTCATTCCCTGCTATTCCACAACATCGATTTCACCCGCACCTTCCGCGAAGAAACACTGCGCTTGACTCAAGTCCCCCTGCTTTGCTGCTCACAATCACACTTCCTCTTTCACCCACAGCATACGTGTCCCTAGCCGTAAGTAATATTCCAACAAAATGTACTCAAATCAACATAAGCCAGTAAAACTTAAAAAGCAGCTAGATCGTAACATCCGCAAAGGATTTGTACCATATTCGATAACTAATCTAGAGAAGAGCATCAGGCGTTAGGACTTAACATCGGACTTCTAGAATGACATCAGCTGATAACAAACTCAGACATTTCGTGCCGTTTTGCTCTCGCTGCCAAAAATCGCTCGCGCCAACAGTTGCAACTGATCATCAAAACTAAATAACTGATAATTTAAATATTTATAAAAGAGCATTTAATCTTAATAATATTAAACAATAAGAACGTAAAACTCAGAAAATTTACCTGTGACGATGAACATGACGGCGCTTCATTCCCGCTACTTTCTTGCTGTGCCATAAGAACGATTTTCGACATATCGGGTATGCTGTCTTCAGTAGCGAGGTCGACAAGTTCATTGAACAGAGGATCCATTACCTGCAAACCAACCCCGTATATTGTCAATGAACTGAAAAAGATGTATGAGGGTTTGTTCGCTACTGTATGTTCCTAAATCGCGAAGACACGGCTCAGCTGCCAGCACGCATGGCCTGTTGGAGACACGGCCTCCGGAATGCCTTGCACACACACACACACACACACACACACACACACACACACACACACACACACACACACACACACACACACACACACACACACACACGCACGCACGCACGCACACACAAACACGCACGCAGGTACGCATAGGCATCTTTACTCGAAATAAATTTTCGACTAATCCCCTCACTATGCAATTCTCCTCACGTACACTTGAGACAACTCCACAACTCGCATCATACACGCTATATATGTTAATTCAACAATACAAAACACTCGAGAGCGCTCCAACTTACAATACACTCTAGATCGACGATAACACAGGTTTGTGTACGATAAGAACAAAAGTGACATTCTTGAAAATATTAAAGCAAGCGCCTCACTACGTTCTCATGCTTTATTTGTGCATTCTATGAAAAGTGGTGTGCGCTGCCAACCGTTCAAAATCAACGAACTTTGTTGAAGCGAGTGTAGTTCAGCCGCATGCTCAGCGAACTAAGTTCAAAAGTGCACGGCGAACTCGTTCGGCCACATCGCAGCCGATGTTATCTCGAGTATCAACACGTTTTTTTTTTTGTTGTGGTGTGTGGGAGGGGTGAGTTAAATTACATCAAGGAGAGGTTAATGCGGTCAGAACGTGAACACAAGGCTTGCGACCATTGACAAGCCTTCAGTGAGGCCTAGCTACGATGTCGATACGCGAAACATGTAGTTGCCTTTCGACATACTGTCAATTCGGGCACGCGTACACATGTATGAGGCAGACAATAAAAACGCATGAGTTGTAAAATAATACAAAAACTTGCACGCTTAGTTTTCCTCTTAGCAACACTGTTTCGGCAAACCGGACCCCACTAACAATAGTACAGAAGCGCACATCCCCAGCCTTTAAATACGAAACTACGCAAACTCGCAGCAAAAAAAAAAAAAAGAAAACGGGCCTCAGCTTTCAACGACGATTAAAAAGCACTTATCGCTCTCAACAAATACACAGTTGAACAAATAAGCAGTCACTTACCTGAAATTTGCTGCAAGACAGTTGAACTTGCGACCCAAGGACAGGACATGTGGCAATCGCATGTTTGAGGGCGACCACGGAACCTTCTTCCAAGTGGTACGTCCGCTTTATCTGAATGTGCGGTACAGTCAGCAGACAACGGATCGGCGGCATCTCGGATGACGCAGCGCACAAAATTGACGTTCCAAAGTCCTCAGCGCGAGTGAAGAAAATGCACGCCAAATACTATTCAAACGCTTCAGCACTCTGCGAACGGCGCAGATAGTCACGTTTTCAACGGCGCAGTTATCAAAATGGCGCGCACTCACGAGTACTGACGGAGGAGTGAAAGCTTGCGGGTGTGGAAAGAGATGCCGAGAAAGTGCGGAAGCATCACACCTTCTATATGCAATGGTATCTCCCTCCGCGCTCGCTTCTCTACGTTGAATTTGAGGGGGCGGAGAGGGACAGGGGGTAAACCATGCTTACATGGACACGACCTCTCTGACGCGTTTGCTGCTGGAGTCGTCACTTGCAAGCGAACGTAACCTTCCAAAGACGCTGCCACTCTTTCTCTCTCGTCTCCTTACATCTTTCATCCCCTCTTCCCGAAGGCGCTGTGCCCTGCCACGGCCGCCGGAGAAAGAAGTAAAAAGAAGGGCCAGCAGCCGTCGTCGTGCTAACAGCGCTCCCGAAAGGAAGTGGTAATGGCGGCGTCTCCTTCTTGATCAAGCACATCCTATATTCGAGTAGCGCGTGAGAACGGCGTGCGCTCGTCGTGGCTGTTGAATTTGAACCTTTTGAACTTTCCGGAATGTCGTTTGAGTGTCGTTTGTAGAAAAATTATTTCAAAAGTACCTCTCCTTCTTTCGATACCAAATTTGTTCCACATGTAAATATAAAAATATTTACACACATGTTGAACCTTTGCGAGTGTGTGTTCATTTTTTGTGCATTTTCTTGATTGTTCTTGTACAGTTTTCTGCGAAGCAAAAAGTGTATATCATGATCTTTTCATATGAAAATAACGATATTACAAAAAATAACGTTGTGACAATGGCTTTATAAAGGATTTCCTTGTTTGTGTGGTGTCGATGACACCATAATCTTAAAAAATGCAGTACAACATACACTTTGCTCCACTCAAGTCTTTTTAATATGTAAGCATGGATGCATTTAATACTCGTGCCACACGGGCAGAAAAAATGGCATTTATCTCCTATAATGCTTTCAGATTGAAGGCCATTCGCGTGGTGCCACATCACGGATGAACGAAATCGCAATCGCCCAAATGCCGTTCGTCCTCTAATGTCATCGCCAGGACCCATTTGATTGAGAAATATAAAACGACATTTGATTCGACTAGAAGGAAACTTTTCGCGTATCTTATTTACACCAATCACTCAAACAACTGCTTAAAACTTCTCTTCAGCTGGTATATATGCAATGTAAAATAAATGCGCCAGGCGCCATTTCCTTTTTATGCTGTGGATCTGACTAGCTTTGGCTTAAGTTGCCATGGTTGGTTGCAACGTCGTGAAAAAAACTAATGAACGAAAGCTAACGGCAGTGTAATATGCTTATTTATTCTTTCAATTATCATTGGATGTGTATGAAGCTTGTAAACGCTTGTTTATTTTTTATTGCTATATATACTCACCCAATGCTCACTATAGGAAGGTGGTGCGATCGAAATCATCAAGTCAAATGTCATTCGCTTTGGACATAACAGCAACGCCGAGAAAAAATGTCATTCGGGAACTGAGTGCACGTGTCTTCGCTATATATACCGAATGTCATTTTCTGTGCCCGTGTGGCACGGGTACACCCTTAAGTCCTTCCCTTAACACCCTTCATCTTGTTCAACAACACCCTTTTTGCCTGTACACCCTTCTTGTAGGGTGTTCCGAAAGAAAAAAGGGTGTGAAATTTTGAAAAAAGGGTGTAAATTGCGATAACACCCTTTTTACACCTATAAGGGTGTAAAAAATTTTACTGTGTAGAAGGTGCATAGAACGGGTGAAGGTCACATTATGTCAATAAAATGGAGCCAAAATGACATCCGAACAACATGGATTGAATTGAAATGAAGCACGTGAGCCCAAATAATCGAATTAGCCTGTTTTGCACCCCACTTACCATAATCCTGCTGCAAAAATCACAACAAAATGACTCCTGCGAATCGCAACACCACCTAGCATCTACCCAAGAAACAAATAAATAGCTGAAGTCATCCCAGTCTCCAATCTCAAGCTTTGAAAAACAACACGTGCCAATATTGATGATGTGTTGTATTTATTTTATATTTTTACATGTGCTGAAAACATTTCCGAATTCTCTTAGCTTGCCTAAAAGCTTTTTGATCCCTCTTGTTCTTTCATTCTATCTCCTCCCATTCTAAATAAAACACTTACAAATTACCCCCCACGCCGACATAGGCCATTTCTAGTAAATTACGCTTTGCAATGGGGTAACAGAGCTTCCTTAGCCCCCAGCTGTGTCTCGCTATAGCCTTTACTCAGCCACCCTGCACCTCATGTATCGCAAATACATAAAGCCATCCTTATTTTAAAATCCGGCGACCACTCCGATTAATATAAAGGGCCTCTAAACTACCCCCTATAATTTTTTTCCAAACGCTTGAAGTAAAGACGTGCATCATATGCAAAATGCTGCATGATCAGTGATTCTCCACGTGGCAGCACAACAAGCCGCCAGTGCTCCACAAATTCTAAACAACAATCGCCCCATGCCTTTCAGGCTGGCACATGACATCAAGAAGTTGAATCTGACGTACAGAATAAATATGCTGCGATTGGTCAAGCAGGCACCTATGACTACCTGTTAGCCTGCAAGAAGCTGTCCACGCAACTCGTCGCTTGTCGTGATGCCCGCATGCATGCACGTGCTTGCAAATTAGGTACTGTTGTCCGTATGACAGGGTTCATACCGACACTATTCATATAAGCACCGGCTGGCACAGCAACAGCGATTCGCTAAGAAGCACAAAGTTGACAGAGGGCGGAGTCACGGCAACCGTAACAAGACAGTGTTTGGAGCAATATGTCATCGATGATGTATGCCGCGCAAGATTGGAAGAGATGTTCGGCAAGAGGACAAAACAGCTTCAGGAGAGGTACCAACGGAGGGTAGTGAAAAGAAGAATGAAAGGAGTGATTACCATGCTTAGATAATCAAACGCATTTAACTTCGCTATTACAGCACTGTTTCAAAAATTTTAACGGCTTTATGGCTGTTGTGCACTTGCGCACACCTTCTTCACCACAACTGAAAGTCCACCTCCGGGTGGTTAAATATTGCATCTGGTTTCTGGCTGCATGCAGTATAGCACATATTGCGTGCCAGCACTGTTCAGGTATTAAAATACTTCTTGGTGTATAGCTGTGAGATTGGTGGCCTCGAAATCAAGCGGCAAATGTTTAGACCAGCAAGGCTATTTCCACTGATACACACTGTCGAACGTGGGACTCTGGTGCAGCATGGCATAATCTACATTGATTTTGTTAGGATGGTGAAGGAAACTTATTTTGGCACATTTGTGCGCAGAAGCAGCATCACGCGATGAAAAATGGGGGGCGTATACATTAATAAAACCACACGAAACTAACTTACAAAGCAAATATAGGAATTCAGATGAATTATTACTTGAAACTTCATATTTTTTTCTGACTAGGCACGAGTGAATTTTGAAAACGAACTGAAAGGTATTGTTGGGCTTGCAAAGCAAGAAAAAAACAAAAAAGTAACTCAGACCTCCTTTTGTTGTCTGTCAAGCTAACCCCACTAGTAGCAACATAATCACCACCACAACTTTTTTTGCTGTGAAGTAACTGACATAATTGTTGATGCTACTTTTATTTACTCGTATTGATGTCACGAAGCTTTTAAACATCACTGCTCATTATAACTTATGTAGCTAGCAAGTTACACAAGCCTTGTCTAGCGCACTAACCTCCCACACAGAGAACTCCCTCTTGTTGCAATGGGCCACGCTCCACATAATGGCCACGCTGAAACCACAGCAGACTGCAGTACATGGCCTTGTTTTAAGTGCATCATAAAGACTTGAAGAATTACAGGCCGATCAGCTTGCTATCGGTAGTATACAAGCTATTTACAAAGGTAATTGCTAACATAGTAAAGAAAACATTAGAATTCAATCAACCAAAGGAACAATCAGGATTTCGAACAGGCTACTCAACAATTGACCACATTCATACTATCAATCAGGTAATAGAGAAATGCTCAGAGTATAACCAACCACTATAGATAGCCTTCCTAGATTACGAGAAGGCGTTTGATTAAGTAGAAATATCAGCCGTCATGCAGACAATGCGGAATCAGGGCGTATATGAAGTATATATAAACATTCTGGAAGAAATCTACAGGGGATCAACTGCTACCATAGTGCTTCATAAAGAAAACAGCAGAATACCAATCAAGAAGGGTGTAAGGCAAGGGGGACACAATCTCCCCAATGCTATTTACCGCGTACTTACAGGAGGTTTTCAGAAGCCTAGAATGGAAACAGTTAGGGATAAGAGGTAATGAAGAATACCTTAGTATCATGCGCTTCGCCGGTGACATTGCATTGCTGAGTAACTCGGGGGACGAATTGCAACTCATGATTACGGAGTTAGACAAGGAGAGCAAAAAAGTGGGTCTTAAAATTAATCTGTAGAAAACGAAAGTAATGTACAGCAACCTCGGAAAGGAGCAGCGCTTCGAGATAGGTAATAGTGCACTTGAAGTTGTAAAAGACTATGTCTACTTAGGGCAGGTAATAACCGCAGAGCCTAACCACGAGATTGAAGTAACTAGAAGAATAAGAATGGGGTGGAGCCCATTCGGCAAGCACTCTCAAATTATGACAGGTAGATTGCCACTATACCTCAAGAGGAGGGTATATAACAGCTGTATCTTGCCGGTACTTAGCTACGGAGCAGAAACCTGGAGACTTACAAAGAGGGTTCAGCTTAAATTGAGGACGACGCAGCGAGCAATGGAAAGAAAAATGGTAGGTGTAACCTTAAGAGACAAGAAGACAGCAGAGTGCATTAGGGTTCAAACGGGGGTTAAGGATATCATAGTTGAAATAAAGAAGAGGAAATGTACATGGGCCGGGCGTGTAGCGCGTATACACAGGATAACCGCTGGTCATTAAGGGTAACTAACTGGATTCCCAGAGAAAGGAAGCGGGTTAGGGGGAGACAGAAGGTTAGGTGGGCAGATGAGATTAAGAAGTTTGCGGGTATTAATTGACAGCAGCAAGCACAGGACCGGGTTAACTGGCGGAACATGGGAGAGGCCTTTGTCCTGCAGTGGACGTAGTCAGGCTGATTATGCTGATGATGGTGAAAGATGCGGTTATGCCAAATGGTGCGACATGTGCTACGTTTGTGCACTATTTAGCCCACACTGTCGATCGGTCCACTGCACAAGTTTGGCAACAAGCACATAAAATTAGCATTGGTGACAGGCAGGCACTTTTCTATAAGATACCCTAGACATAGGCAGACAACG